GGTTCCTATACAGGATGAAAAAACATGGTCTTCAACCTAATTTGGTTACTCTTACAGCACTAGTATTAGGATTCTGCAAGAAGGGGAAAGTGCTTGAGGCGTTTGCAGTGTTTAAGATGGTTGAGGATTTGCAGATTGAAGCAGATGAATTTGTATATGCAGTATTGATTGATGGTATGTGCAGGAAGGGTGACGTTGGACGTGCATTTGAACTGCTCGGTGAAATGGAGAAGAAAGGCATAAAACCTAGTGTTGTCACATATAATACCATTATCAATGGATTGTGCAAAGCTGGGAGGATGAATGAGGCCGATGATGTGTCTAAGGGAATCCTCGGAGATGTTATCACGTATAGTACATTGTTACATGGTTATATTCAAGAAGAAAATGTCATGGGAATGTTAGAAACAAAAAAGAGAGTTGAAGCAGCTGATGTTTTTCTGGATGTTACTATGTGCAACTTGCTTATAAAAGCCCTATTTATGATGGGGTTGTTTGAGGAGGCTCTTGCCATATATAAGAAAATATCAGATATGAGCATTACTTCCAATTCTGTTACTTACTGTGCCATGATTGACGGTTACTTGAAAGTAGGAATGATAGAGGAAGCACTTGAAATATTTGATGAATTTCGTAAGACATCTATACCTTCAGCTGCATGTTACAATTGCACCATTCAAGGGCTCTGTAGGAATGGCATGCCGGACATAGCAATTGAAGTATTCGTTGAACTAATTGATCGAGGTTTGCCTTTAAGTACAAGGATCTATATGACATTGATAAAAAAGATCTTTGAAGTTAAGGGTGCTCAGGGAGTTTTAGATTTGTTTCAGAGATTGGAAAGAGTTAAGCATGAAAAATTTGGTTCAATGTGTGAAGATGCTGTTTCTTTCCTGTGCAACAAAGGATTACTAGAGGCTGCAGTCAATCTGCTAATTGTGATCCAAAGTAATGGTTTTGTTCTAAGCAAGAAATCCTACCATCTTTTAATGAAATCTCTTCTCTATGGTGGCCAAACCTTTTTGACTGGACTTCTTTTGACAACATTCCTAAAAACATATGGGATGTTTGAGCACGGGGCAAAGAAGATGCTTGTTTACTTCCTTTGCATTAAAAATGTAGAAACTGCACTTCGGTTTCTTGTTACAGTGGAAGGCGACACATCTGAGTTGACCTTTCCTGCTGTAGTTTTGCGGACACTGACAAAAGGCGGCCGATATCTGGATGCGTATAACCTTGTTATGGGAGCGAGTGATAAGCTACCTCTCATGGATGTGGTTGACTACTCAATTGTTATTGACGGCCTTTGCAAAGGAGGACATATTGACAGGGCCTTAGATCTCTGTAATTTTGCCAGCAATATAGGAATTTCTTTCAATATTGTAACCTATAACTCAGTAATCAGTGGGTTGTGTCGTCAAGGGTGTGTGCTTGAAGCTTTTCGGTTATTTGATTCATTAGAAAGGAATGATATAGTTCCTTCAGAAATCACGTATGGTATACTCATTGACGCTTTGTCAAAAGAAGGTCTTTTAGCAGATGCCAGAAGTTTGTTTGAAGAAATGTTCCTAAAGAATCTTAGAGCGGGTACTCGCATATATAATTCATTAATCAATGAATGCAGCAAGTTAGGTCAAATCCAGGAAACTTTGAAGCTTCTCCATGATTTACAAGCTAAAGGCCTCAGACCAGATGAATTCACTGTGAGTGCAGTACTTAACTGCTATTGTCAGAAGGGTGACATGGAGGAAGCTCTTGGGTTCTATTCCGATTTCAAAATGAAAGGCATACTACCTGATTTCTTGGGTTTCATGTACCTGGTGAGGGGCTTATGCGATAAAGGAAGGATGGAAGAATCTCGATGCATTTTGAGAGAGATGCTTCAATCAAAATCTGTCATTGATCTTCTTGGCAGAGTTGAAATCCAAATCGAGACAGAGTCTATTAGAAGTTTTCTTTCTCTATTGTGTGANGATAAAGGAAGGATGGAAGAATCCCGATGCATTTTGAGAGAGATGCTTCAATCAAAATCTGTCATTGATCTTCTTGGCAGAGTTGAAATCCAAATCGAGACAGAGTCTATTAGAAGTTTTCTTTCTCTATTGTGTGAGCGAGGAAGCATACAAGAGGCAGTTACTATTCTGAATGAAGTGGTATCCATGTTTTTCCCTGCTAGAAGGGGGTGTGGTGCTTGGAATTTATTAGGGAAACTTGAAGAGTCTTATGATGGGAGAAAGATGGATATAGACTCAAGATCACACGAGAGATGGATGCATGAGAAGGCATCAAACAACCGTCATGACCAAGACACTCAAATAACCCAGTTGCTCGACTTCAATTCTTACTATTCCTGTATTGCTTTATTGTGTTCAAAAGGGGAGCGTGATAAGGCTAATGAAGTGGCTAAAGTTATTACTGGTTTCTCATAGAGCTTGTTTGTCTTTTCAACAATATTTAGCTAGCTTCTTTGGCTATGGTTTGCGAACAAAGAACCGTACAAGAGCTATCTTAGGTATGTTTTACTCTTGTCGAGATTTCTAAGTGCATAATTTATGTGACTCTAGGTAATCAACTTGGCAAATCCATATATCTATTTCTAACAAACATTTCAAAATGAATTTTTTGACTTTGTAGGTCATAAAAAGTGATTTTTAAGTTTGTAGTGGTAGTTTATTTTATTGTTATTCAGAGTGTTTGCTTTAGACGAGATAATTCAATCAATTATATATGTTTAGCATATTAAATGCTATTGTAATTTCTATTACCTCTATTTACATAAGTTCTTCCCTAAGTTGCATTTTGAAATTCTAATGCAAGTATTTGAATGATGAACTACCTTTGAGTTAATCTCCTATGCAGGAGGAATTAAAGGAAGTGAAATGTAACTTGGAAGCTTCTATGAACCTCTGGATTCCCTCTTTACACCAAGAAGAGCAAATCTCAGTGACTAAAGCCAGGTCCTTAAAAACTTCAGACGATGGACTTAGCAGTATTCTTTCTGAAGAAGAAGTACAGGGAATTTGGACCTTCTTGCAAGGCCATTTGAGACTTTGTGGCATGACTATACATGAAAGCTTTAGGCAATGTCTCATTGTCACTCCTCGTGTTGTTGCAGAGGTTACTTTTTGATTCTTCATTCTAGTCAATCTATGTATTTCCAGAAAACATTTCTTTTCATTCTGAGTGTACCCATGTGTACTAATAAGTATCTGGATTATCAGTTCGCAAGCTCCATCACTGGAATGCTGTAACAAGGAATGCTGGATTTCTGATTGTTATTCTGGAGGTGGATGGAATTTGCAATTTAGAAGACATTTTGATGATTGGGAGATTGAAGATGTTAACCTTCTGCTTCAAAATTTGAGTTCAGTGGTGATATTAGAAGAAAGAGAGGACTCAGTACATGGACAGCCAGTAGAGATGAGAAGTTCTCTGTTATATCCTGCTATAAAATGTTGCAACTCTCAAGCTCAAGGAGACATAGTAGATGAAATGGCCAGCTAAAATAATCTGGAAAACCAACGTTCCTCCTAAAACGGCATGTTTTGGATTGTTTGCAACGCATGGTGCGTTTCTCACACTGTCATGTTCTCATATCCTTTTTTATTTCTTGAGTTGTTTTAGCAATTTGTAAATATCCTGCTGCATACAATTACCTATTCAGCTATGCAATAGCCATGGAATGATCATTAGTATTGCAGGTGACAGGCCTCAAACCTTATTAGTAGTAGCTTGCATTTAGAATGCAAAAGGCATTATTATTTCACTGGCTTCTGTTTCATGTTTTTGTTACCGCATGAACTTAGCATGTGAAAGATGCTTTTGTCTTCGGGAAAATTTCACATTAGAACAACTGGGCTCCATACTTTTCAATTTTATAACCTATATTTCAATTTACAACCAACTAGCCCATAAATAATAGGCTAAGATTCAACATCCAACTCCAATAGGTTCTCAAAATTACTATTTAATTTTTAAAAAAGATTCCTCAAGCTTTTAAATTAATTTTCGAATCAGTAACTGTGACTCAAATATTAATTCAACAAACTAACTTCATTTGGGTGGTAAAAATTAGATTTTTAACAAGCTTAAATATGTGAGTTTAAATTCCGAATTTGATTTTGTGAGAAATTTGGAGTGGGTGTTATTTAGACTTGTTAGAAATAGTATAAGGAGGTTGTATATAAAATTTGAAGTCATTTAATGGAGATTTGGACTGGTTTTGAACAAGAATTGCAACTGAAAATCGTGGAAGATGTTCGTCTACAGACGTTTGTATAAAGGTGTATAATAGTGTATAAGGTGTGTTTCTACACTCATATATACTATTATACAAGATTATACATAATTATACAAAAAAAACTGACTTCGTCTTCTTCCTTGTGTCTTTTTTGAAATTTAACTCAAATCTTGCTCAAATCTACTCCAAATCACTTCAAATTTAAATTTTGAACTCCTTTCAATATTTTCAATCAATTGGAACAATACCCAATCCAAACAACTAACAAATTCAAAAAAATTCATTTTCAAAAGCAAAGCTTTGAATGGTCTTCAATGGTGGACTTCTACTCTTCAATTTTCTTACATTGCAAGTAGGTGACACGAGGAAAAGTAGAAAATACACGGTTCTTTGAAGCATATGTAGAAGATGTGAGAAGAAGAGAGAGTGAAAGCAATGGTTGTGAGAACAAAGAATTAACTCCATAGCTTCTAGAAGCAATGGTTGTAAAAACACAGATTTTGAATTTGCTAGTGCTTTCAAAATATGTACAATGTGGGATAGGTGGGGTAAAACTTAAAAACATGGGTAATTTTTTGTTATGGTGTGAAGTCATGTGTATTTTTTTGTAATTCTTTCTTTGTCTTCTGCAGTGTAATTCCAACCTCTGTGCTTGCAACATATCTGGTTGAGTAGTAGAATATTAATCACTTTGCTGTGGTTAGAAGAGCTCCTCCTGAATTCGAAATCGCTTGCTTATAGGTCAGTTTCTTGATTCAGATTTGCTTCTTTTTTTCTTAATAGATAATTTTAGCATTTTAAGCAAAAGAAGTTTTGCACGTCTGTGAAAGCCATGAGGAGGCTGGGGAGGCTTTCAGACTATTGCTTCACAGCATTAGACTGAGTGCTTTTCTCTGTTAACTGAAATAAAGACGACTGGCTTCTATGCTGAGTTCTATCTTTCGTTTTTTTGCTAGCTTTGTTCGTAATAATTATACAATCTAAGTAAGAGTGAATAGATGGGTATTTAGGCTTTTGAATTTTGATGTACGAAAACACACTGTTTATCACGGCAGATTTCCAAATGCTCAGTCCGGGCTCGGATTTAAGCTTAAAAATAGTTCTGCCTTCGACTAGACCCTCGATTCGAAGTCAAATGTATATGAAGAATTATGATCAAAATAAAAACTTTTCAATAAATAAGAAGCAAAGAAACAAGTTTGTATTGCCTTAATATGCGTGTCACGATGTGTTTATTTTATTGAATAATAAACCTACCCTTTATATAGTAGGGGAGTTTTACCCCTGCTACAATTCTAAAAAAAGGTAAAAATCCTCCTTGTACATCAATTGTTGATGCGCTACCGACATAGGGCAGGATTCGCGCCGTGATATCCAATCGGATATCACTGCCCTCTATTAGTCGTGTGCCATCGTTCGTAGTGCTTTCCGAGGTCTTGGAGCTCGTACCGAATTCGGGGGTGTTGTCTTGTTGGGTCCGGTGGCGAGCATCCCGTTCGGGCCTTCCCAACTTTGATTCAGATTCCATGTAGTTATGTCCTTGATTTGTTTGACCCACCGGGAAATCGGGATACTCATTAGCCCCGATTTTAACCGTGTACAATAATGCAATATAATACATTATGAAATGAAACAATATGTGACGCCCATTCAAACAAGCTGTTAAGTAGGCATTTGGACAATCTTAATTTGCTTGACGTCCAAAGAAAAGTATTTAAAGTAGGGAAAACCGCTAATTTTTCCCTTTATTAAATGATTTGAAATGGGACGATTTTATTGTTCGTTTCTTTTTTGGTTCAAAAGTGTCCATGTCTTAGTCGAGTTGTTCAAAAATGATTCCTAATTAACGATCGCTCTCGTTCGAATATATTCAATTAAAACAAAAACAAAAAAGTAAATTTTGTCCCTGAATTAGTCGATACAGGGACAAATCTATCCTCCATTTCGTCTTAGCACATTTATTATTCATGACTATTTGAAATATTAGAGTTCAGTATTTGTAATATTAAGATAATATTTGATACTTAAATGGAATAAATGTATGGCCATACAGTTAAAATAACCCAAACACGACAAACCAATATAATACGAGACAGGTGTTAGACTGGGCACCAAGTATCTACTAGGCTACGAGCTGTGCCCACACCATTCCTCACGCCCAAAGGAAAAGAAAAAAAATGAAATACACACATATACACATTAGGCTAATACTCCTAATTAAAATAGGCACTTAACGTACATATAAAAGAAAACGACCTGCAAAAAATTGTAGGGCCAGAGGGTGTAATGAACAGCGCTATTTCTGTTTTTCCCCAATAATTAACTAGACTAGCAGCCCGTATTAACTATAAACTAAAAATATCCCCATTCTTGTTTAACTACCCTACCTAAAATTGTAGGGCCAGAGGGTGTAATGAACAGTAAAGTGGACAGCATTATGATTTTAAAAAATAAATATTGATATCATATATTTCTAAGGCAGAAGAAGACAAAGTAGAGAATCTTTATTCAAGTAATCCTAGATGCTTCAAGTTGTCTTATTTGTCTTCGGTGTAGTCCAATACTCCAATTAGCTTAAGCCCTTCACATATATCTGCACTTCTCCACTCACTTCTCCAATACATAGCAAAAAACTCGCTTCTTTTTCTTTTTAGAAGAAGAAAAGAAAGCCATGATTTCTTACCTATTAGCTCTACTATTACTTCCTCTATCTCTCACTTTCATTTTCTTCCTTCGTAACCGCGATTCGAATAGCAAAAAACTTCCACCAGGAACATCTGGATGGCCATTGTTAGGAGAAAACATCGAGTTAGCCTTATTAGGTCCTGAGAAATTCCTCAAAAATAGAACGGAAAAGTACTCACCTCATGTGTTCCAAACATTAATCATGGGAGAAAAATTGGCTGTGTTTTGTGGTGCGCAAGGGAATAAGTTCTTATTCTCAAATGAGAACAAGCTTCTCACATCCTGGTGGCCAAAATCCATGAAAAAGGCATTGCTTTTCCCTGAATTTGCTGAGAGTTCACTGAAAGATGTATTGACTTTACAACGCGGTTTTCTACAAGATATTCTCAAGCCTGAGGCTCTAAAACAATACATTCCAATTATGGATGCAATGGCTCGAGAACATTTAGATGAAAATTGGATTCCTAATGGAGTAGTAAAGGTTTTCCCATTGTCAAAGAAGTACACATTTGATTTGGCGTGTCGATTGTTCATGAGTTTGGTAAATCCTGAGGAAATAAAGAGGTTGGCTGATCCTTTCACTCTTGTTACAAATGGAATGTTTTCTATGCCTATTGATTTGCCCGGAACAGCTTATAATCGCGCTATCAAAGGCGGGAAAATGGTGAGGGATGAACTTATGAGGATCATTTCACAGAGGAGAAAGGAATTACAAATGGAGAATAAAGAGACAATAGCAGGAGGCAGAGACTTGCTGTCAAAAATATTGCTTGTTACTGATGAAAATGGAAGGTTTATGAGTGAAATGGAGATCTCCAACAATATAATAGGAATGCTAGTGGCAAGCTTTGAGACTACTAGTAGTGCAGTCACTAGTGTCTTGAAATATCTGGCTGAACTTCCGCACGTCTATGATCAAGTTTACAAAGGTAAACTAGACATGCTTTGTGAAATAAAAACACTCTCTCCGTTTTATTTTATATGGTTCTGTTTGACTATGGACATCTAAGAAAGAATGAGAACTTTTGCCGCATATTAAAAAGGAAATAGTGTTATATAAAATAAAACATATAGAGTCGTAAATAGGTAAATTTAAATTTGAATCTAATATATATTCACATGGCAAATGGTTGTTTGATGACAGAACAAATGGCAATTGCAAAGTTGAAAGGAGAAGATGAGTTGCTAACATGGGAGGACATTGAGAAGATGAAATATTCTTGGAATGTAGTTCGTGAATCACTAAGGCTAACTCCACCCGCTCAAGGAGCTTTTAGAGAAACAATCACTGATTGTACATATGCAGGTTTTACCATTCCAAAAGGGTGGAAGGTACAAAATTAAATATTTTCATTTTGTTACTTACGAGCTACCTTCATTTCTATCTATACACGGTGTTTGTGAAAATGACATGTTTTTTTACAGACATTTTGGTCAGTGCACTCAACACATAAGAATCCGAAATACTTCACTGATCCTGAAAAGTTTGATCCAATGAGGTTCGAGGGAAGTGGTCCAGCTCCCTACACGTTTATACCCTTCGGGGGAGGACCTCGAATGTGCCCTGGAAAAGAGTATGCTCGAACGGAAGTACTAGTGTTGATGCACAATGTGGTCAAAAGGTTTAAACTTGAAAAGGTTATTCCAGATGAGAAGATTGTGTTCGATGCTTCTCCTGTGCCAAAGCATGGCCTTCCTGTTCGCCTTCTGCCTCATGGAAATTAACTCATATTTCATCTAGAAAGTGAATCATGTTCTTGTTTTAATTAGTTTGAGAAAAATGAAGATCTGGCAATGAATAATTTTAATAGTAGTATGACAATAAGTTGTTGCATTCAAATTACGGGGATATGCTTATTAGGGGTGGGCATCGGTCGGTTCAGTTATGAATATTATCGGTTATCGGTTTACAAATATCATAACCCGATAACCAAACCGATAAGATATTGGTTATCGGTTATCGGTTTACCCGATAAAATAAAACAACTAAAACAGCTTCAAAATGTATAAAACAATTTCGGTATAAAACTTTTTTGCTAAACCAATTTTATAAGATTTTAAGAACTGTTTTGCTAAAACTATTTTCAGAATTGTTCTATTTTACAAGAATTTAAATTTACTGCAACATCCAATAAAATAAACATTAACCAAAGTTTCTATCCTTCATTCTTCAACCCAAAAAATATAAACAAAAATCCCAATATCAGTCAGTGATGAAAAAATAGAATCTCAGTCATATTTTCACTTCGACACTTTCTGCAAATACAAGGGATTTAAATGAATAACAAATACAAGTTTATTAGTTATGAAATACAAATTTTATAATAACTGACACAAGATAACTTCGTAATAGCTCAACAATTAAAGCACACGACAAATCTCACTTCAGTTTTCAAACAAACTAAGAAAAATCCAGAGCCAGAATGCTTTCAAACAAACTAAGAAAAATCCAGAGCCAGAATGCTTTCAAACAAACTAAGAAAAAGATGAAGATGAAACAACTAAAAACTTACACGAAGAATCAAGATGAAGCTGAAGAATGCAGCTGAGAAATACGACTGAATAGTGAAGTGAAAATGCGACTGAAGAATCTATGGATCTGAGAAATGAAGTGAAGATGCGACTGAAGAGTGAAAGAAAGAAGCTGAGAAAAGCGACTGACGCCGGCCTGAGTCTTGACGGGCTGACTGGTGAGGGCGTGATGCAACTGACGCCGGCCTGAGTTTTGACAGGCTGATTGATGAGGGCGTGAGGCGGAGAAATTGAGAAAGAATAGGGAAATTAAAGAGTGAACTATGAATTATGAAACCCTAGTATGTATATACTTAAGGGTAAACTAGTAAATTAGTTAATCCTTATTGGGTTATCGGTTTTACCCAATAACAAAATTGCAAAAACGAGCCCGAACCGATAATCCAATAATTTTTTTTAACCCCGTTACCGAACCGTTAACCCAATAACCAAATACCGATAATCCAATAAATAATTAACGATTCGGGTTATCGGTTTTACCCGATATATGCCCACCCCTAATGCTTATTATGTTTTGTTACCAATTTGTATCAAGATTGTCCGAGTGAAGTACGAGTGGCACGAATCTAAATTTAGTTGGGCTTCTCGTGAATGCTGGGTGAGAAACCAAAAAGGAAAAAATATACAAGTCACAATTTGTTGATCAATTGAGAAAATCATCTCGAAACACACAAAAATAGAAAGAATACTAGCTACATATTGTTTAAGCAGCCCATTTAGCTCTGTTTCAACAATTGTTTGATTATGTGACATTGTTTAACCAAATCAATTTTAAGAAAAAATAAATACTTTTAAATCTTGAAATATTGTTTGACTATAAAAATCTATTATTTAATAAATAGAAAAGATTAAATTAAAATATTTGTAAATTTTAAAAAAAGATTAGTACTATTAAACAGTTGCTTTTAAATGGAGCATTTTTTGATCCCTTTTAAAACGGCCGAGCGTATTAAACACCAACGGCAGCCAGCAAAATCCCCTGTTCTTCAGCTGCCGACCGCAGCTGAACTGTATAGGGAGCATAGGATGCAGCTCTTGTCGGTTCTTTCTGTAGTGAAGAGTGGTTTCACTCCCACCGCCCAACACTTGAACCATTTCCTCCTCTTCCTTTCTCGCCCCAAAAAATTCAAACTCATCATTCACTTATTCGAATCAAATCAATTCAGCGCTGACTCCAAGCCCCCTAGAATCTTCATACAAGCACTTGCCGAAGAGAACAGATTCGAAGAGGCACTTCAGCACTTGAAATTGAATAGTCCTACCCAGGTGTACAAAGACAAACGCCTATATGATTCTTTAATTCAGGGCCTCTCTCAAACAAACCCCGGAAAGGCGCTTTCTTTACTGTAGGGAAAGATGGTATTTTGCTCTCTTCTTATACTTTTTGTTCATTGATTCACTCTTCCTGCACTCAGGGAAGGATCAATGAAGCAATTCAAGTGTTAGAGTTAATGACCCATGAGAAAATTAAATACCCATTTGATACTTTTGTGTGCAGTTTTGAGATTCATGGGTTCTTTAGTGTTGGTATGCCCGAGCTTGCTGTTGAGTTCTTTAACAATGCTGTGAATTCAGGTTGTTTAAAAGTCAATGTTATTACTTACACAACACTTGTGAGTGCTTATTGTCAGAGGCGAATTCAGGATTTAAATTCTATGGGTTCAATTTTTAAGATTTTTAACATTGAACCCATTATATATTTAAAGTTATGGGTTCAAATCTATTATTTTTGCAATTTTAATGAATTTTTACACATAAATTTCTACTCCTCGTCAAAAGTTATGGGTTCAATTGAACCCGTAACTCTCACACTGCATCCGCCTCTGCTTATTGTAGGTTAGGTAGAATTGAGGACGTTTCTAATTTGGGAATGTATGGATTAGAATTGGATATTGTGTTTTACAGTAATTGGATATATGGGTATTTTAGGGAAAGAGCAATTGAAGAGGCACTAAAAAGATATAATGAGATGTTGTGTACTAGGAGAATTGAGTTGGATACAATAGGCTATACAATACTTATTAATGGGTTCTCAAAGGAGGGACATGTGGAGAAAGCAGTTGGGTTCCTATACAGGATGAAAAAACATGGTCTTCAACCTAATTTGGTTACTCTAACAGCACTAGTATTAGGATTCTGCAAGAAGAGGAAAGTGCTTGAGGCGTTTGCAGTGTTTAAGATGGTTGAGAATTTGCAGATTGAAGCAGATTAATTTGTCTATGCAGTATTGATTGATGGTGTGTGCAGGAAGGGTGACGTTGGACGTGCATATGAACTGCTTGGTGAAATGGAGAAGAAGGGCATAAAACCTATTGTTGTCACATATAATACCATTATCAATGGATTGTGCAAAGCTGGGAGGATGATTGAGGCCAATGATGTGTCTAAGGGAATCCTCGGAGATGTTATCACGTATAGTACATTGTTACATGGTTATATTCAAGAAGAAAATGTCATGGGAATGTTAGAAACAAAAAAGAGAGTTGAAGCAGCTGATATTTTTCTGGATGTTACTATGTGCAACTTGCTTATAAAAGCCCTATTTATGATGGGGTTGTTTGAGGAGGCTCTTGCCATATAGAAGAAATATCAAATATGGGCATTACTTCCAGTTCTGTTACTTACTGTGCCATGATTGACGGTCGCTTGAAAGTAGGAATGATAGATGAGGCACTTGAAATATTTGATGAATTTCGGAAGACATCTATACCTTCAGCTGCATGTTACAATTGCACCATCAAGGGCTCTGTAGGAATGGCATGCCGGACATAGCAATTGAAGTATTCGTTGAACTAATTCATTGAGGTTTGCCTTTAAGTACAACGATCTATATGACATTGATAAAAAAGATCTTTGAAGTTAAGGGTGCTCAGGGAGTTTTAGATTTGTTTCAGAGATTGGAAAGACTTATGCATGAAAAATTTGGTTCAATGTGTGGAGATGCTGTTTCTTTCTTGTGCAACAAAGGATTATTAGAGGTTGCAGTCAATCTGCTAATTGTGACCCAAAGTAATGGTTTTGTTCTAAGCAAGAAATCCTACCATCTTTTAATGAAATCTCTTCTCTATGGTGGCCAAAACTTTTTGACTGGACTTCTTTTGACAACATTCCTAAAAAAGTATGGGATGTTTGAGCACGGGGCAACGAAGTGTACTTCCTTTGCATTAAAAATGTAGAAACTGCACTTCGGTTTCTTGCTACAGTGAAAGGCGACACATTTGAGGTGACCTTTCCTGCTGTAGTTTTGCGGACACTGACAAAAGGTTGCCGATATCTGGATGCATATAACCTTGTTATGGGAGTGAGAGATAAGCTACCTCTCATGGATGTGGTTGACTACTCAATTGTTATTGACGGCCTTTGCAAAGGAGGACATATTGACAGGGCATTAGATCTCTGTAATTTTGCCAAGAATAAAGGAATTTCTTTCAATATTGCAACCTATAACTCTGTTATCAATGGCTTGTGTCGTCAAGGGTGTGTGGTTGAAGCTTTTCGGCTATTTGATTCATTAGAAAGGAATGATATAGTTCCTTCAGAAATCACGTATGGTATACTCATTGACGCTTTGTCAAAAGAATTTCTTTTAGCAGATGCTAGGAATTTGTTTGAGGAAATGTTCCTAAAGAATCTTAGACCAAGTACTCGCATGTATAATTCATTAATCAATGGATGCAGCAAGTTAGGTCAAATCGAGGAAACTTTGAAACTTCTCCATGATTTACAAGCTAAAGGCCTCAGACCAGATGAATTCACTGTGAGTGCAGTACTTAACTGCAATTGCCAGAATGGTGGCATGGAGGAAGCTGTTGGGTTCTATTCCGAGTTCAAAATGAAAGGCACACTACCTGATTTCTTGGGTTTCATGTACCTCGTGAGTGGCTTATGTGATAAAGGAAGGATGGAAGAATCTCGATGCATTCTGAGGGAGATGCTTCAATCAAAATCTGTCAGTGATCTTCTTGGCAGAGTTGAAAGCCAGATTGAAACAGAGTCTATTAGAAGTTTTCTTTCTCTATTGTGTGTGCGGGGAAGCATCCAAGAGGCAGTTACTATTCTGAATGCAGTGGTATCCATGTTTTTCCCTGCTAGAAGGGGGTGTGGTGCTGGGAATTTATTAGGGAAACTCGAAGAGCCTTATAATGGGAGAGAGATGGATATAGACTCAAGATTGCATGAGAGTTGGATGCTTGAGAAGGCATCAAACAACCGTCATGACCAATACACTCAAATAACCCAGTTGCTCGACTTCAATTCTTACTATTCCCGTATTGCTTTATTGTGTTCAAAAGGGGAGCATGATAAGGCTAATGAAGTGGCTAAAGTTATTACTGGTTTCACGTAGTGCATGTTTGTCTTTTCAATAATATTTAGCTAGCTTCTTTGGCTATGGTTTGGGAACAACGAACCATACAAGAGCTATCTTAGGTAGGTAATAAACTTGGCAAATCTATATATCTATTTTTAACAAACAATTCAAAATGATTTTTTGACTTTGTAGTTCATAAAAAAAATGTTTTTTTAACTTTGTAGTGGTAGTTTATTTTATTGTTATTCAGAGTGTTTGCTTTGGAAGATATAATTCAATCAATTATATACTTTTAGCATATTAAATGCTATTGTAATTTCTGTTGCACTTTGAAATTCCAATGCAAGTATTTGAACTATCAACCAACTCTGTGTTATTATCCTATGCAGGAGGAATTAAAGCAAGTGAAATGTAAGTTGGAAGCTTCTATGAACCTCTAGATTCCCACTTTACACCAAGAAGAGCAAATCTCAATGACCAAAGCTAGGTGCTTAAAAACTTCGGACGATGGACTTAGCAATATTCTTTCTGAAGAAGTACAGGGGAATTTGGACCTTCTTGCAAAGGCCATTTGAGACTTTGTAGCATTTTTATCTGCACTTTTGCAAACTGTACATGAAAGCTTTAGACAATGTCTCATTGTCACTCCCCGTGTTGTTGCAGAGGTTACTTTTTGCTTTTTCATTCTAGTCAATCTATGTATTTCCAAAAAAACATTTCTTTTCATTCTGAGCGTACCCATGTGTAATAAGTATCTGGATTATCAGATCACAAGCTCCATCACTGGAATGCTGGATTTCTGATTGTTATTCTGGAAATGGATGGAATTTGCAATTTAGAAGACATTTTGATGATTGGGAGATTGAAGATGTTAACTTCTGCTTCAAAAGTTGAGTTCACTGGTGATAATAGAAGAGAGGACTCAGTACATACACAGCCACTAGCGATGAGAAGTTCTCAGTTATATCCTGTTATAAAATGTTGCAAGCTCAAGGAGACATAGTAGATGAACAATGGCCAGCTAAAATAATCTAAGACCAACGTTCCTCCTAAAGCGGCATGTTTTGGATGGTTTGCAATGCATGGTGCGTTTCTCGCACTGTCATGCTCTCATGTCCTTTTTTATTTCTTGAGTTGTTTTAGCAATTTGTATCTATCCTTCTGCATACAATTACCTATTCAGCTATGCAATAGCCAAGGAATGATCATTAGTATTGCAGGTGGCAGGCCTCAAACCTTATTAGTAGTAGCTTGCATTTGGAATGCAAAAGGCATTATTATCTCACTGGCTTCTGTTTCATGTTTTTGTTACCGCATGAACTTAGCATGTGAAGGAAGCTTTTGTCTTCTGCAGTGTAATTCCAGCCTCTGTGCTTGCAGCATATCTGGTTGAGTAGTAGAATATTAATCCCTTTGCTGTGGTTAGAAGAGCTCCTCATGAATTTGAAATCGCTTGCTTATAGGTCAGTTTCTTGATTAAGATTTGCTTCTTTTTTTTTGTTAATAGATTTTTTAGCATTTTATGCAAAAGAAGTTTTGCACGTCTACGAAAGCCATGAGACTGGGGAGGTTTTCAGACTATTGCTTCACTGTATTGATGATTTACATTAGATTGAGTGCTTCTCTCTGTTAACTGAAATAAAGAGGACTTACTTCTATGTTGAGTTCTATCTTCGGTTTTTTGCTAGCTTAAGGGAGTTATTGTTCATAATGATTATACAATGTAACTAAGAGAGAATAGATGGGTATTTAGTGCGTTTGAATTTTGATACACGAAAACACACTGTTTAACACGGCAGATTTCCAAATGCTCAAATGTACATAGTGGTTACTTGATATACTCAGATTTGGATGCCATTTAACTGATCTTACTGCTCTTTAAGCTGGATGAGAAGTTAGGTTGTTTTGTGTGCTGCTCTTTGATAAATGGACCTTGGGCCTAACTCAACCCCAAATGCTAGCTTATAAGGTGAGGATGCCCAAGATCATATAAGGAGACCAAAGACCTCAAATCCCACCGATTTGAGACAATTCAACACCACCTCTCACGCCCAGACCTGCAAACTGGAGCGTGGACAACATAAATGGGGGTCGAACATTGGTAACAATAACTGGGATGGGCCTGGCTCCAATACCATTATAAATGGACCTTGGACTTAACTCAGCCCAAAAAACTAGCTTATAAGGTAAAGATTGCCCAAAATCATATAAGGAGACCAAAGACCTCAAATCCCACTGATGTGGGACAATTCAACACCCTTAATATATGGTTGTGCAGAAACATCAAGATTTGTTCGATGAAATAGATAATCTGCAAGATGGATATAATGGCTAATAAGGGAAAACATAAATCTTTGGAAACATCTTGTAATATAAGAGCAACAATGATTCTTCTTTTTTCTTTTTCATATTTGCATTTTGTTTTGTTCTTCTTTAGTTTTTCACGGGCTCTCTGCGAATAACAACGTAGCAAATTCTTGAGAGCAAGGAGCATTTAATTGATCAGTTGTGCAGAAGATATAATTATTATTTTTGAGTAATTTATCTTATAACATGATAAATGGACCTTGGGCCTAAATCAACCCCAAAAACTAGCTTATAAGGTGAGTATTGCCCAAAACCATATAAGGAAACCAAAGACTTCAAATCTCACTGATGTGGGACAATTCAACAGCAACAACAACCCAGTAAAATCCCACAATTGGGGTCTGAGGAGGGCAAAATGTACACAGACCTTACCCCTACCCCAAGGGGTAGAGAGGTTGTTTCCGATAGACCCTTGGCTCAAGCAGACGAAAAAGACAATATATCAGTACCAACAGTAGAAAGCATAAAAATAATAACAGAATCAAAAGTACCAGAAAATAGATGAAAAAAAATAACAGTAGCACATAAGAAAGGCTCGGTACTATGAAAAGTGAAAGAGAAGTGTGGACACAACAATAACCACTAGCACTCTAGGACACAACCCTCTCCGACTAGCCTCTCACCCGGTGCGGAGTAGCAAATAGCGCCGCTACCCCCTGTCCTACAACCCTAATGCTAGACCCCCACACTTTCCTATCAAGGACCATGTCCTCGGAAATTTGAAGCCTCGCCATGTCCTGCCTGATCACCTCTCCCCAATACTTCTTGGGCCGCCCTCTACCTCTTCTTATACTTGTCAAAGCCAACCGCTCACATCTCCTTACTGGAGCGTTTGGACTTCTACTCCGCACGTGCCCGAACCATCTGTGCCTAGCTTCCTGCATCTTGTCATCCATCAGGGTCACGCCCACCTTCTCCCGAATATCTTAATTCCTAATCTTATTCATCCTAGTGTGCCCGCACATCCACCTCAACCTCCTCATTTCTGCTACTTTCATCCTCTGGATATGCGAGTTCTTAACCGACCAACACTCTGCCCCATACAACATGGCCGGTCTAACCACGGCTCTATAGAACTTACCTTTGAGCCTCAGTGACACCTTCTTGTCAGGACTCCAGATGCTAACCTCCGCTTCATCCACCCCATCCCTATACGGTGCACAACATCTTCGTCAATCTTACCATCCCCTGAATAACCGACCAAAGGTACTTGAAACTGCTTCTCTTGGGGATGACCTGTGATTCAAGCATCATGTCCACGCCCACTTCCCTCGACTTGGCGCTGAACTTGCACTCTAGGTATTCTGTCTTAGTTCTGCTAAACTTGAAACCCTTAGACTCAAGGGTCTGTCTCCAAACCTCCAGTCTCTCGTTAATGCCGCCTCATGTCTCATCAATATGGTGCGTCAGTGCGTCCATCACCGGGGCAAATAAAAATGGGCTAAGCGCAGATCCTTGATGCAGCCCTATAACAACTGAAAAATGCTCTGAGTCGCCTCCCACCATCCTAACCCGGATCTTAGCTCCCTCATATATGTCTTTAATCGCCCTAATATAAGCAACCGACACGCCTTTCGCCTCCATGCATCTCCAAAGAACCTCCCTAAGTACCTTGTCATACGCTTTCTCCAGGTCAATAAACACCATGTGTAGAACTTACTTCTTATCCCTGTAATGTTCCACCAACCTCCTAATAAGGTGGATAGCGATGTGGGACAATTCAACACTCTTAAAATATGGTTGTGCAGAAACATCAAGATTTGTTCTATGAAGTAGATAAACTGGAAGATGGATATAATGGCTAATAAGGGAAAGCATAAATCTTTGGAAACATCTCGTAACATAAGAGCAACAATGATTCTTTCTTTTTTCTTTTTCATATTTGCATTTTGTTTTGTTTTTCTTTAGTTTTTCACGGACTCTCTGCGAATAACAACGTAGCAAATTCTTGAGAGCAAGGAGCATCTAATTGATCAGGCAGAAGATATAATTACTATTTTTGAGCAATTTATCTTATGCATGTAGCTATCACAACAAATGTAGAAAAATAACCTGTTAACTTTTAAATTGAAGGATGTATGTTAAAAAAGGGCAGTCCGGTGCACTAAGCTCCTGTTATGTGCAAGGTCCGGGGAAGGGCCGGACCACAAGGGATCGTACGCAGCCTTACCTTGCATTTCTGCAAGTGGCTATTTCCACGGCTCGAACCTATGACCTACTGGTCACATGACAGCAATTTTACCAGTTACGCCAAGGCTCCCCTTCAACACCAAGGCTCCCCTTCCAAAGGATGTATGTTACTATTCTCAAAAAAATAAAAATAAAAAACTTTCAAAGTGCAGGATGTAACAGCATTCTGCTCTTCTGATAAGAATCCTATCCCTTCTATGCTGGTTTTAGTAACAGAGAAACAGATGAGATCAGCTACGTCAACGTTGGAATAATCTAAAGGAAATATCCTCACCATCAACCCAAGGTACGTTGTCAACTGTTACTGTCAACTGTAAAGGAACTTTGTTAAAGAAAGTTTCTGATGATATTTTTATAATCTACAGGGTCAAATTGTTATAAATCGCTACGTAGATACAAAATCATATACCTCCCTTTGTAGTGTTGTCAATGATACATTTCTAGCCATGTCCTCATGTGAGCGGGTATTAATTTTTCCCTTTTCTTGTATTGTATGAGTGATTCATTGGCTATTTATTTAGCACATGATAGAGTAAATTAGAAGTTTGTGATCTCTTGTGCTTCAATTTTTTTCCGTCTACAAGGAGATATAGGGTGTAATTAGATGTATAAGAGTCACTTAAACCATCATGTTCACTTTAATGACTCAACATCTTGTCTATTTAGTCATCAATGTTATTTAGAGACTTAAACTCCCTCTACATGACACCTAGAACATTTTTAAACGAGTGAACAGTTAGCTGCTTAGAATTAAGAAGCTTCTTTTTTGTTATAAAAAAAGTGCTGACATGACGATTAGATCAATTTCATTCATGAAGAAGAGGGAGGAGAATCTATTAATATCAAGGACCTGTGATCCTGATTTATTATTAGCATCAAGGTTAGGGATATCTTTTTCCAAGGGAAATTTTTTAGAACTAAACAATTTTTGGTGGAATTACAGTAGGTTCACTTCACTCAAGTTCTCTCTCCTCTCCTGTAGAAGCTCAACTTCTTCACGTTCATCATTTTTGTTTCAAAAGAATGTATCTGGTGCAGGGCCTNACAATTGAACGAGGAATCTAGGCTTATGTTTTGACTACAAAGATAGAGAAGATAATCCTCATACGTTGCATCATAAATGAGTCCAGGATCTACTGCTCTTGATGGTCGGAAATGGCCTGCTCCGTACTCAAAGGGGTTTGCATCATTACCAGTGGCATTTGTTATTGGTCTACCAACCAAATTATTGATTGTTGCTGCAGTATGAGGAAAACAAATGTCAGAGAGAAATTCTTTAGAAAAAAATAACGAGGACAATTCTTTACGAGAAGAGTAAAGCATTACATGTTGTCATTAGAGCTGATCTGATTGCAGCACTGCTCCAATCTGGATGAATGGATTTTAAGAGTGCAATTACAGCTGAAACATGTGGGCAAGACATGGATGTCCCAGACTGCATATTATACTTGACGACACGACGATCCTCTGGCAAGTTCAACGGAGAGGATGCTTCACTCCATGCGGCTAGTATGTTTAATCCAGGAGCAGTTATATCCGGCTGCAATTAATGTAAAAGTATTTTTCAGAAAGAGTTTACTTGCCTTCTATATACTGTCGGTGTAAAAAAGTTTTAGTGGAAATTGTTCGTAAAAAGTAAATTACTAGTAGCCTGGAAAATAAGGCAGGTTGTTTGCTAAAATGCTCATTTTTTGGTGCTGATATATATTACCTTGAGAATGTTAGGATCGACTATATTTGGTCCTTTGGAAGTGAAAGGAGCCATGACTGGTGCTGACTTGGTACCAATCAATGTTTGCCCTGGGAGAAGTGTTGCCATTGGATTTTTTTCAGTCTGTATATATGTTCGGATTGTATTTAGGCCATATGAAAAAGCAACTGTTGTGGAATCCAAAAAAGGGGTGACTTGTATCTCATTAAATGGAGTTCCTAAAATAGCTGCAACACCTCCAGCTCTTTTCACCTCCATTGATGCCTGCATACTACTGCCCCTGCAGACGACAACTTTTCCTCTTACAAGATTTCTTGAAAGTGTACCAGGAAAACATAGTCTGGATATTCCATAAGAGCAGTGAGATATTAGTTTCATTAGCTACTGATTAAGAAATAAAAGAATTAAAAAGTAAAATGAAAGTTACCCTGTTGTATTGCTTGCCGTAGTTCCTCTAATTTCTACATCTCCTGCATAAACCAAAGGATGCAACCTACTCCTCCTTATTGGAGTTACTGTTTGCCCCTGTAATTTATAAATAAAAAACCCCAAAAAGTTAATAAACTTATAAAGCCAAAAAAGGAGGCAATTTTACTTGTAGAATTGGATTTAACTACTTGAAGTTAATCTTGATAAGGGTTATATCATATACATTGGCAGCGTAAAGATACTATTTAATGATTATAAGAGAGTGTAATTATCTTATAAGATATCTAATTGGCTAAACATTTTATATACCATTAGTGCATAGAGCTTAAACTGTCGTGATAATTGACAAATGAATCAGAGTCGATCCATACCTCGACGATCATTCCATTTCCGAGCATAATTGGAGATGAAAAAACACGATCGATACTACTAGCACCAACTGTGATAATCCATGGAGCCACATTTCCAACAGTAGATGGTGTTGGACCATCATTTCCAGCACTACAGGCTACTACAATATTCCTCTTCAGAGCATGCAAAGATCCAATTGCAATACCATTTTGTGTATAATATGTTGTTCTAGGTTGAGACCCAAAGGAGACACTGAGTACATCAACTCCATCAGCTATAGCATCATCAAAAGCAGCAATAATATCATCTGTGAGGCATGTATTTCCCTCAGCTAAGCTCTGATCTGGAACTGGCCAACATACTTTATAAATGGCAAGGCGAACATTTGGAGCACCTCCTGTTGCTGTACCTTTTGCAAATCCACCAATTGCTGATGCATTGGCAACTCTTCGACCACCTACTGTTGCTGCTGCGTGAGTACCATGACCATCTACATCTCTTGGTGAACGAAAGTCCCTCGTCTCGTTAAGAGGACCAAAATTTGCCTCGTAACTTTTTAAATAATATCGTGCTCCAACTAATTTCCTTTTGGAAAAAACATAACAAAAGTTTGCACTGTCAATATATATAAGTTAAATTAAAGATGTAATATTTTGACTGATTGGGAAGACTAGTCAACCTGTTGCAATGGGAGGAGTTGAAGGCAACACCTTCTTGGCAAATTCCTTTCCATGACTTTGGAACTGGTTCCATTCCTTCATCATTGAAACTTGGAGATTCTGGCCACACCCCTAAGTTCAACAACCCAGAGAAGAAAATAAGGGGAAAAGAAAAAAGGGCCTTGATTTGAAATCGATACATTAACACACACACTAGAAGAAGAAGAAGAAAAGTTAAGACGACAGTGATATTCTTGACCCAATCTTCCTACCATATATACGTACTAAGTCAAAATATGAGTACTATAATATTCAAATTAGAAAAAAAAAAAATTTAAAAAATAGAGAAAATCTCTTACCACTGCCCATAACCCCAACAATGATATCCTTCCCATAACTAGCATTTTGCAACAAATCTTGTCCAGAATTTATGAGTGAAGTTCCTTCCATCAAGCTCACAAAGTCCCAAGATCTTGTAGTATGAGGCTTTATTTCATGAGGATCACTGTGAAATACTGATATTACCCCTTCCATCCCTGTTAAAAAAAACAACAACTTATATTGATCAAAAACAACGCGAGTAACCTACTCTAGGGCAGTCTGGTAGTGTTGAGACTTAATATAATTAAGTGACTAAAAGTATGTTCAGCTCTTAAACTTTTGGGCGGGGTGGTCATACAATCTATTGTGGTATCAGAGCCGTCAAGAGGTTCTGAGTTCAAATCTCATAAAGAAAAAATATTTAGTTTCATGTCTTTGACTCATGAAAACGAAGCAGGCCCTCACGATAAGTTCATGTATACGTTTATTTACGAACCTGATATCATATCGGCTTCTTGTGGCGTTAACAAAGCAGAGAAGCCATTGATGACGTTCTTGTAGCTGTGAACTAGCGATGTTTTAGCTTCCTCTTTGGAAGTAGCCTTGACAGAATGAAGAAATGAGCAGTGGTGATCTTCTATTTCTTTCAAAGTCTTCTCTCCACTGTGCTCGCCAAGGTACACTACATAAACCTTGGTTTCTTCAGTAGATGAAACAAAACCATTAAGGAATATCATGAGGAAGAGCAAAAAGAAAACTACAAAGTTATGATTCTTCATTTTAAATGGCTTGTTTTGATTTGCTTTGTCGGGTTACTTGAGGGTTTTTATAGTCCATATATATATATATATATATATATATATATATGTGTGTGTACAATAAATGCAACATGTGATCATTAGTAAATTAATCTTGATCTTACAAGTCAGTATCTATACGTCTAGATATATAGGAAAGAGTCTATGGCCAAATATTATGACCATTTCCTGTCAAAGCTAGCTTTAAATTAGTTAAGGAATTTTAATCTCATACGCGTCTAGCTAGTAACCTTCGATGAAATAGTAATACTCCATCCGTTTTAATTTAGATGACGCGCTTTCTTTATTAGTCCGTTCCAATAAAAAATGATACATTTTTATATTTAGAAACAATTTAACTTTAAACTTTTCATTCTACCAACTTTACCTGTAACACTTCTCAAATTTATAAAAGTTTCGATACTATAGAAANCCTAAAAGCCCATAAAAGGGCTATTGGAAAACAAAAGGCTCCAAGCCTTAAGAGAAACAGAACCCACGTTCTGATTCATCAAAAAGGGTGGAAGGCTTTTGCCTTAGACGAAAAATAGAACAGTACGAAATAGAGGCTTCTAATCACGCAGGCAACGGAAAATCTAGGGTTCTTTACAAATCACTAATTCTCGAATTCAGGTATATAAAATTCCCTATTGTCAATTACCCTACAGTAGTAATAGGTGAGAACTGAATAGTTATTCCCTTCTCTCTCTATATCAACAGTAAAGTTCCGTGTTTAAGTGTGAAAGTTTAAAATTAATTAAAATGCACTGATTGTTATAGAATCCATTTTTTGACTGGTGTCAATTGGACTGGGGCCTACTATTGGCTCGAGAAGTTTTGAGGTGAGTTGATAAAACCCTTTACTAAAGTGGTTTAACTCACAAAAGCACGCATACAAAGTGTTTGATGAATTGCATAAAAGAGTTGATATATACTTAATTGGAGTGAGTAAGAACATATTTGCTTAGAATTATTTTCTAGCTAAAGTTTAGATGATTAATTTGATATATGTGCATAAATTCTCAGAATTTTGTGTTATTCTTATATGCCAGTTTCATGTTGAAAATTCATGAAGGAGAGAGAATCTTTATAAATACTTTTGAATGTTTATTTCATTCTTATGCCATGCCTTACCTTTAAGGATACCGATATGATTATGTGTAAAAGGTTTAGACTTGAAAAGTCACAAGAAGAAGTTTTAGAAAGAAAAGATTTTTGGGAGTATCCTTTATTCTAAGAAGGGGTCATCGTCTAGGCCGAGGGTCCTGACCAAGGCGTTGACTTCCTGAAACTACTTGTGCCAAAGTAGGGGGCACACGAGCTGAGGGTCTCATTGCTGAGAATTTACTTAGCCATGATAAGCTATGATACATGAGCGTTGAGAACCATAAAGCGAGTGACACTTCGTAGATTGGGCATATTCGATCAGGTTGGGATTGAACCTGTGCCGATCACACTGTGACTAAGACAGAATTAAGTCAGGATAGTTGGAACTCCCAAAGTATAAAGAGAAGTAATTTTTTTTAGAAAAAGAAAAGAATTTCTTTTAGAATATTCATAAACTGCTATTATGCAATTATTTTAGAATTGTTCTTAGAAGCTTTATGTTTTCTATGCATTTATATTCTTTGCTCGTAATGTGTATTGTATTAAAGTTGCATCCCCTATTGTTGAGACTCACTGAGTACAATGGATGGTACTGACGTTCTCTTTTGGGAACCTACGTTGGTCTGCGGTACAACGCAGGAACCGATTTTGCAGGCGAGCAGGCTACGGGTTAGGATTTCCTTCTCTTCCAGTACTATTGGTGAGCTCCGATTTTGTTCGTGGAGTATTTCTTAGAGTTATCTTTATTTAGTTATTTTTTTGTTTACTTAGAGAACTGGCCAGGAAATCTCATGTCCTGAGCAATGCGTCAGTTTACCAGTAGAGGCTTCATAAACATAGTCGTTGGGTTAAGATTCAGATTTTTTTGATAATAACTTAGCAGTAATTTAGTAGTTACTATGAATAAAGTTTTGGAGTTAATTTATTTAAATATTTAAATTAATTAATAGTATTTGGTTAGAGTATTGCCTTATTGCATATAAAGTTTGGAGTTATAATAGATTTGATAAGCAGAGATGGTTCGCTCGGTCATGTTTAATGATCGAGTGCCGGTCCCGGCTTGTTCAAAAAATGGGTCATGACAAACTTTGTATCAGAGCCTCAGGTTTATGGAGTCCTAGGGGTCTATGAAGCCGTGTTAGTAGAGTCTTGTTTATGTGTATGAGGTACACCATACTTATAAATAAGAGGCTACAAGCATTTAGGAAAAGTCTTATTTTTTTTTATACTTTAGATCGTGCAGTAGAGTCTACCTCTAAGAAATTATCTAATGTTTTCTTTTCTCCAAAACTCACAGAAATGGATCGTACTCGCAACTCTGACACCGAAACTCAGAATGCTGCTCAAGAAACTATTGCTACCATTGTGGCTCAAGGCAGAATTAAAAAGTCTCCAACTCAGAAAAGGAAAGGTAAATCCACAAAGGGTGTTCAAGTACCCCGGGTTGAACATGAAGAAGGGGTGGAACGTGATGATCAAGTACCTCAAGATCCAGTGCCGCCCCCAACAGCAGCTCTGGCTCAGGTAACTATATCTCCCGAGGTGGGTCAAATGTTTAATGCTGTCAACAGTGCTATGGAGATGTTTAAAGCCTTTATGGCCAACCAGAACGAGAGAAGAGATGTGATTTCACCTCAATCAAATAGACAGAACAATTTTGAGTCCTCAAAAGTGAATACATTTTTTAAGTTGAGTCCTCCAATGTTCCATGGTTCTATAGTTGATGAAGATCCGATGTTGTGGCAAGAGGGTGTCAAGAAAGCCCTTCGAGTGATGAAAACATTTGATGATGAAGCTGTGGAGCTGGCTGCTTACTAGCTTAGAGATGTGGTTGGCGCTTGGTTTGAGATGTGGGAAAAGAAAAGAGATGAAGATGATAGTCTGCCTATTTGGGAAGAATTTGAAAAGGCCTTCATGGCTAACTTTATCACAGAAGAGGATAGGGACGCTAAGCCTACAGAGTTCGAATAGCTCAAGCAAGGGAATAAAAGTATACATGAGTGCTACATGGAATTCATAAGGTTGGTTAAGCATGCTCCTCACATGGTTAAGAAAGAAAAAGAAAAGATTCGCAGGTTTGTTGGCGGTTTAGCTTACCACATTAAGGATACGACATCAGATGCAACAGTAGGGATGATGTGATGACCCAAAAAGTCATCACTTAGGTTGCAATGAAATTCTACATTCGGAGTCCTTAAAAACCTCCCTTAGTACCACCTCGATTTGCGTGTGCAGTCCGGGCGTGTAGCCAGAAAGCTTAAATGTGAAAATCTGTGAAAAATGATAAGTTTTGACTGTAAATGAATAAATTTGACTTCGGTCAACGTTTTGGGTAAACGGACCTAGACCCATGATTTGACGGTCCTAGAGGATCCGTAGGAAAATATGGGACTTGGGAATCGGATTCCGAGGTCCTAAGCCCGAGAAACGGATTTTTTTAAAGAAAATTATTTTTGAAATTGTTTAAAGAAATTTGAAATGAATTTTGCTTAGAACATGGTGGTATTGGGCCTGTATTTTGGTTCCGGCGCCCGGTACAAGTCTTATATATGATTTAAGACATTTTTGTGAAATTTGGTGAAAAACGGATGTCATATGACGTGATTCGGACTTAAATCGCAAAATTTATGTTTAAAGAAATTTTGAGAAAATTTCATTGATCTCGAGATTTAATTTGATGTTCATGATGTTATCTTGATGATTTGATTACACGAATAAGTCCGTAGGATATTTTTGAGGTTTTGTATGCACTTGGTTTGGAGTTCCGAGGGCTCGGGTGAGTTTTGGGTAGGTTCCGGGATGTTTTAGG